GGTCTTAGCCTGGCACCAAAAAACAAATAATGACGGCGCCAGGCTAAGACCTTTTTATTTAAAACTTATTTTAATTGTTAAATTATTGAATTAATTAGGATTTTAAAATTTTTAGCCGAGAATGCACCGGGGGTTTTTGAATGATTTTTTTAAATTGTTATATTATCATTATGTATGTATTTATGTATTCTTAGTGAGCCGCCCCGAGGCTTTGTTGCGATGGGGGCGGCATAGAAATGTTTTAAATAAAGGAAGAAAGACAGACAGACAAGATCACTAAAATTTCCGCCCTGAGCGCTTGCGATGAGGTAGGCAGTGGGTCCAATGAATTAAATGAGTGCGTATTGATGTCCCACAACGGTGCTGGCCGTGCGCCTTAGACTCGCGGTCCACGTTCCACTGGTCCGGCTGAGTGCGCCGCGGCTGTCGCGCCACTCCTGGGGGGCCGCCTGTCCAACCCGCCTCTGCTCTCCGTTTCAGTGGGCTCCCCGAGAAGTCCCGTGAGCAAGACCACACTGACCCTGATCAGCATCACCAGCTGTGTCGTCGGGCTGGCCTGCGCCTCCCACGTGAGCTGCCCCCTCGCGGTCAGGATTACGCTGCACGTCCCGGAGCACCTGATAGCTGACGGTGAGCCACCTCCAGCCCGTTCTTGAGCCCAGCCACCCCCGGGGTCCTGACCGCCAGGAAGTGCTCCCTGGCCTCCAGGCTGGGCCACGTGGACTGAGACCGATGCGAGTGGCTGTCCGACATTTTGGGACACTCCATCAGGGGAAGCTGGTTCAGTGGATGTGCTCTCCATTCCAGCGTTGCCCATCACATGCTGACCTTCCCGACAGAGCTGTTGCCGGGACCGCTGAGATAATGCATCCGGAGCACTTCGCACTCGAGTGCTGTATAAAATACCAGCCCCTGTGATTGGGAACTCTTTCCTCAACAGAGTGTGCTTCCAGTGCTCTCTCTCGGAGGCCCCCTGAAGCTCTGCACAGCCCACTCTGCGGGTTAAGTCTTGAAATCCCAGCCATTTGTTCGGCAGGAGCGGAAGGATGGGAATGACAGATTTCACAGCCCCCCCTGCCCTTGTGCTAAGAAGTTTGCACCAGTGCAAATGTGGCTTATGGGTTGTAGACCCCCATATTCCTTTGTCAGTGCTGGTTCCAGCTTCCCAGAGGGTAAGAACAAATGCTCTGTCGTGAAAACACTGAGATGGGTGCCCACAGCTTTGCCAAGCCTAGGCCCCCTCACCTTCTGTGCGCAGATGGTGAGAGGGAGAGGAGGCAGGGAGCATCTGGCACGGAAGGCGCCTTGTATCTGGATGCCCGAGGAGAGAGAGCCCCGCGCGGAGGCAACCGGCAGCCGCCTTCTCATGGAGGCCCCGGCTGCAGGGAGCGTGCACCTGACCGGATGCTCTCCCGGTAATAAAAGGAGTCTCTCCCCATGGGAAGCTCAAGCCAGAGAGAAGGCTGGGACAACCTTGCCCTCGGCACCCAGCTGTGTTCTGCATGCCAGCTCTTATCTTGCATCCGGATACATTCAGTCCCTTGGATGGCTGTCTGAAGCGGTACAGTCCAAACAGAGCTGTACCACCTTAGTGGAAGCAAGGCCAGCAAGGGAGGGGGTGGGTTTTACTTTATCAAGACTACCTGGTCAACAGCTGCCCCAAGAGGCACACTCAGCAGGGGCTGGCTGGGGAGGAGTCTGAGAGAAGAAACCCTGATTCCCCTTGGTGGGCTACAGAATCACAGAATCGCAGAGTCGGAAGGGGTCAGGAAGGGCATCAGGCCCACCCCGCTGCTGTTGCAGGACACCAAGTCACTCCATCCCACGCAGAGGGCTGCCCCGTTTCTTTTCGAGTGCCTCGGTATGAGAGAGCCCCCCACCTCCAGTGTCATCCAAACCCACCCATTTCCTCTGCAATGCCCCTGGAATGTCCAGGAGACGAGACCTTGCAGACTTGCTCACAGGGGTCGTGTGAGAGACTTCCAGGGTTTTTCCCCGAAGAAAATATATGCTAAATCCACCAAGTGCAAATGCATTCTGGTTTGAGTTTTGTGCCATCAAAGCAACCCGCAGTTGCTTGAGAAGAAAATGTGGGCCTGGGAGTGATCAGAGAGGAGAACTCCTACGGAGTTTTCACCCATGAAGCTTAAAATGAGTGTTAAGCTTACATTGCACCGAACATTCATTCACATCACAACCTCCTTGTGTTCTTTTTAGCATGAACAGGGATCATGTATTCACTCAGCCAGCGGAGGGCTGGGCAGCTGGCTCTCGGGAGATTTAACCTTGTCCTCGAAGCGCCCTCAGTCTTTCGAAATGCGGCTCCTCCCCACCCACCCTTTGCCTCTCTTGCAGGGAGCAGATTTATCTTGCTCGAGGGCAGCCAGCTGGATGCCAGTGACTGGCTAAACCCGGCCCAGGTGGTGCTCTTCTCCCAGCAAAACTCCAGTGGGCCCTGGGCCTTGGACTTGTGCTCCCGACGGCTCCTCGACCCCTGTGAGCACGAATGTGATCCTGAAACTGGTAGGTGGGTGCAACGCGGACAGCGGCCTGTGCCGGGTGGGCTCGGGAGCGTCTCCCTGCATACTTGACTGAGAGAATTGGGGAAACGCACCCAACCGAGCAAACGTTGGTTATGGAGTCCTACCCCAGCGGTTCCCCCTGCCCCCCCCCCCCCCAGCTTGGCAACAGCCGATCATGAAGCCACCTTAGACTCACAAGCGTGGACTAAATTTGGCCGTTCATCCGTTCCATCCGGGACCTGTGCCTTGGCGCCCCCCGTGTCGGTCGACCACTGGGTCTCGGGTTGGGGTGAAGCACAGCAGAACCGGTCCCAACGGATCGGTGGCCTTCCTCTCGCGTTTGGCGCCATGTTGGCAGCCGGGTCCGCGAGCGCTCGAGGAGCGAGGGAGACGCGGCTTGCATAGCCGTCGTGCTTCGTGGCTCCGTTCCTGGTGCGCCTGGCAGGACCAGCCCTCTGCCACATCAGGTGCAGAAGTGCAAACCGCTGCCCCACGTGGAGCGGGAGAGGAGCTTGGCCTCGGCCCCCCTGCAAAGCGGACTGGAGTCCGGGGAGCCGAGCCTTGGATTTCACCCCGCTTAATTCCTCACACGTGCCTCCTTTCCACACCGAGGCTCGGAGCTGTCCGTGGTGCTGGCGCCCGCCTCCCGGTCGGTGCCCTGCATCGCTCCTTTAACGTTCAGGCTGAACGCCAGAGCGGAGTCACCGAGCCCGTCTGCCGGCTGGCTACCCCCGTGGGTCGGCGGCAGCCCCATCCCGCGGTCTGCAGCCAGGAGGCATCTCTCAGCAGCCGTTCCAGAGAGACTCGGCTGCTTGCGGCAGGGACTCAACCCAGGGCCATCTGCATGCAGAGCGTGTGCTCCGGAGGAGGAGACCCTTGAGCGGGGCCTGCTGTGGTTGCCGCTTTCCCTTGCCGGGTGCCGCCAGGTCCCACCCTCTGCTTTGACAGCCCCCCCCCCCGTGGTCCGAAGAGTCGGGCCTCGGGAGACCCTGCAGCGCCCCTTCCCGCTCCTGTACTCCCGGCACGTGCTCCTGCGAGGCCTCTCCTGCCCCTGCCACGGGGCGTCCCGGGCTCACACAGCCTGCACGGCCTTTCCCCCCCTCTGTCCGTTGTGGCAGCTGTCAAACCAGGCAGCCGTCTTGGGGGAAGGCAGGGCACCCACTGGGGAGCCGTTCCGAATCCACAGGTTAAGGGGAGGGTTTCTGGGGGTGGGAGGAGGGGATAATTTGCAAAAGCAGAAGAAATGAGCATCTGCTGAGGCCTTTGCCCTTGCTGCTGTATTCTGGGGCACCGTGCAGGATCAGGGCCTCGGTGCACCCCGCTTTCCTCCACTTTACCCCTGCAGGCACATAGGCACGTGCCTGCAGAGGACCAGCGCAGGCCAGCCTGGACTACAGCTCCCATCATCCCCCTCACCAGCATGGCGGTTAGTCCCGTCTGGAGGGCACAGGCATGGGAAAGGCTTCTGCGAGAGCACCAGGCCCCTGCTGCTTCCTTTCTGGCCCCCTCCTAACAAAGCCGAGCCCAGCAGGTGTCTCTCAGCTGGCCGCTGCAGGCCACAGCCCGGCCTCTTTCCCAAGCAGCCCCTCTGACCGCCCCATTCTTGTTTGTTTGTGTCCCCTCCAGGCGAGTGCCTGTGTTACGAAGGATACATGAAGGACCCTGTTCACAAGCACCTCTGCATCCGGAACGAGTGGGGCACGAACCAAGGGTAGGTGCTCCCGGCATGCCGGGCTCAGCCCGGAGCAGTCGCGTCAGGGAGCCGGCCCACTGGCGAGACGTCCGGTCATGTGGTGTCTGGCAAGGGCCCTTCTTTTGTTGCGGCCGCGGGCAGGGAGCCAGGAAGGGATCGATGGCGAGGGCGGCCGCCGTGGAGATGGCAGGGATCCAGGCGAGGTTGGAGCCACCGAGAGCTGCAGTGGGGGGCCGGGAGGGGAGCCCCCGCGAGGTTCTCTGCTCCCAGCATGCCTGAGGGAAGGCCTGGTGGCAGGTCGAGCGATGCTGAGCAAGTGAGTTCTGCACAGCTGCAGATCTGGAAAGCCTTTGGGCTTCTGAAATGGGCCACCCAGCCCTGCCGCTGGTTTCGCGCTGGCCCTGGGAAAGCTGCGGGAGGTGGTGGCTCTTTGGGGATGCTCAGAGGCCCCGCATTCCGCACATTCCAGGATGCCACCCTGCTTTGGAGATCAGACTCTGGGCCCAGCCCCAGCGAGTGTGGGCCCCAGTTTGGCACTGGGGCGCTTCTGAGGGGCGAACGCACCCAGGCGAGCTCACTTGGCCTTTGGTGGAGAGGCAGCTCTTAAGGCGGAGCAGCTCGGTTTTATTGGATAGCCCTGCTTAGGGCGTCGCTCCGAAACCGGATCTGGTTGTGGAATGATCGCACATCCTCCCCGCAAGGTCGGAAGGAGTTGCGAGCATTAGTGAATCTATGAATTTTTCTGTTTGCTGGAAGAATTCCAAGGCGCCATTGGTTTGAGACTCTGTTGTAGGGAACTGAGAGAATTTAAAGGCAAGAATATGATTTCTTCTTAATTCTTGGTGTGTGTGTGTGTGTGTGTGTGTGTGTGTGTGTGTGTG